CCTCCTGGGCCCTGGGGCAGCCCTCCCGGGGTCCCGGACCTGGACAGGCCCCGCCTTCCAGTGCCCTGGTGAGGCAGGTCTCCTGGGGCTCCCCATCCTGGACAGGCCCCCTTGCTCTTGGGCCCTGGTGGGGCAGCCCTCCCGGGAGTCTCCAGCATGGACAGGCCCTTCCCTCCTGGGTCCTGGTGGGGTAGCCCTTCCGGGGGTCCCCGCCCTGCACGGGCGCCCTTCCTCCAGGACCCTGGTGGGGCAGTTCTGCCAGGGGTCTCTGACCTGGACGGGCCCCTCTCTCCTGGGCCCTGCTGGGGCAGCTGTCCTGGGATTCCTCATCCTGGACAGACCCCCTTCCTCTTGGGCCCTGGTGGGGCAGCCCTCCCGGGGGTCTCAACATGAACGGGCCCCTCCCTCCTGGGTCCTGGTGGGGCAGCCCTTCCGGTGGTCCCTGCCCTGGACGGGCACCCTTCTTCCAGGGCCCTGGTGGGGCAGCTCTGCCAGGGGTCCCTGACCAGGACGGGTCCCTCTCTCCTGGGCCCTGGTGGGGCAACTCTGCCAGGGGTCTCTGACCTGGACAGGCCCCTCCCTTCTCGGCCCTGGTGGGGCATCTCTCCATGGGTACAGGCCCCTTCCTCCAGGGCCCGGGTAGGGCAGCTCTGCCAGCGGTCCCTGACCTGGATGCACCCCTCCCTCCTGGGCCCTGGTGAGGCAACTCTGCCAGGGGTCCCTGACCTGGACAGGCCCCTCCCTTCTTGGCCCTGGTGGGGTAGCTTTCCAGGGGGTCTCTGACCTGGACAGGCCCCTTCCTCCAGGGCCCTGGTAGGGCAGCTCTGCCAGCGGTCCCTGACCTGGATGGGCCCCTCCCTCCAGGGCCCTGCTGAAGCAGCTCTCCCCAGGGGTCCCCAACCTGGACAGGTCTCGTCCTTCTTGGGCCCTGGTGGGGCAGCTCTGCCGGGAGTCCCTGACCTGGATGGGCATCTCTCTCCTGGGCCCTGGTGGGGCAACTCTGCTGGGGTCCTTGACTGGACAGCCCCCTCCCTTCTGGGCCCTGGTGGGGCAGCTTGCCAGGGGTCCCTGACCTGGGGGCCCAGCGCTGTGGGGGTTGTGAGGAGACATGCCTGCCTGGTACTTACGCCCCCTCTTTCCACCCCCTACCCCAGTGGTCAGGTTTCCCTTGCGGGTGTTAATCGCCAGAGTGTCTGTTCCTGTGTCCGCCTCTCGTCCCTGCCGAATTGGCGAAACGCCTTCATTCCTACTAACTTTAATGAATGATGTAATGATTCAGGATACCAAACTGGCGGCATGCGCTTGGGAAGTCGTGGGGTGTTGGACCGTGATTCCAAGTGGGTGATCTGGACTTCCCTTTATCTTCCTCTGTCTGTTGTGCTGTCCTCTTTCCCAGCCGGTAGGTCTGTCACCAATTTACCCACAGCACTGTGATCAGAACTTAATCTGAGTCGCACCCTGTAGCCTTAAGTCTTGTTGTTGATGTCCCAAGTCATTTCCTCAGACTGTGAGCTCCTGGGGAGCAGAGAGCATGTGATCTGTTTCGTCTAGTAGCGCCACAACTCCGAGCGTGTCCTTGCGTGTCTGATAGATGTTCAGAAACTATTTCTTTGGTTTGTTAATGTTTCCAATCCAAACACCATTCCTCCAGAGCCCAGGAGGGAGGGGCCCGCCCAGGATGGGGAACCCCGGAGAGCTGTCCCACCAGGGCCCAAGAGGGAAAACATCCAGGAGGGGTGATGTCATGGTAAGAATGCGTCCCTAGTCGGGCTCGGTGGCTCAGCCTGTAATCCTGCGCCTTGGGAGGCTGAGGTGAGTGGATTGCCTGAGCCTGCGGGTTTGAGATCCGCCTGGACAACTTGGTGAGACCTCATCTCTACAATAAATCAAAAAATTAGCCGGGCGTGGTAGCGCGTGCCTGTAATTCCCAGCTACTTGGAAGGCTAAGGTGAAAGGATTGCTGGAGCCCAGCAGGTCGAGGTTGCGGTGGCCGGGAGCGGCCACTGCACTCCAGTCAGGGCGACAGAGTGAGACTCCAACTCAAAAAAGAAAAAAAAAGAATGCAAAGAATGCGTCCCTTCTGGTGGAACTTCAAGAGTGACCTGGCGCTCCGCTGCATTTCAGACCTTAAAAGTGTGAACTGCACCTGCATTGTTTATACAGCAAGTAGCTGATTCTAGAGTGAATCTTTTCTTGAGAATGAGTTAGCCTCAGAGTTTATGTTCTGATGAGAAATTCAAATGACATCATCATAGTACCTTTTAAGCATAGAGGTGCTGTCAGAGAAAACACAATATGCATTTTTGCCTTTAGTTTGTGTTCTTTGGCAGACAGCATAGCTATGTATATGCATCTTAAATGGTACCACAAAGCACAAAGATGTGAACTTATTTAATGTTTTCTGTTTGCGGTCTCTTTGTTTTTCTCTGCTGGAAGGTAAGGTATGGTTGCAGACACTTGATAAAACCTTCATTTCAAGTTATGGGGTGTATATTCAGCATATTCAGAAGCTACGTCCATTTGCATGGATTCTTTTTTGAGTGAATTCTGATGACCAGGAGATGTCTTGGCCATCAGACTAGCTGTTTCTTCTTGTTTCTCTTCCCAGGTTCACTCACCTTTTCCTCTGTCATCATTCTCCCCTCCCCAACTAACTCGGTAAAGATATCCACACTTAAAAAAAGAGGAACCAACCATATTCAAATTATCTTTCAGTAACAGAATTGCTTCCCTTATTGATAAAAATGACAATTTTGACATATGAGAGAGACCCTGGACATTTGGCAGCTGGCCAAATGAAAGTTGATTTATTTAACTTAAACAAAATGTGCTTCCTCAAACATGCACATGCTGTAGTTTTCCAAAATAAATAATTTTTTGCTGTTCTTTGAAGTTTTTACTTTTGGAATCTTTGGGGACTCCCTTAAATGTTATAATCAGTGTCATTAATAAGATAGTAGAGGCAAGTCTGCAAATTTTCATCTCTTTTGCACATTCTTTTCTTGCCTAGTGAATAAATTCCAGTAGTTCTGGCCTGACTTCATGTGCGCTAAAATGGTTGCATATTTTTTTTAAGCCTGTTTATAAACTCTAAACCATTTTAATTGTTACTTTCTGAAACTAAAATCTAGCATGGGTGAGATAAAATAATGACTTTTAAAGGCTTAATATTTACCGCCTTATACAAATATGATATTGGCAGCATCACTATGTAGCGCTGGACCGGGAAGCAAGAGACCTGGTGTCTAAGCCCTGCACTGTCGCTAACAAGCTGTGTGGTCTTCAGTAAGTCATTTAAAGTCTGGGGCCTTGGCATTGGTATTTATAAATAAAGGTAGAAAATAAAAAAGATTGATGTAAATAAAGCTCCCCCTGGGGTCATTGTCAGAATTCAGAAGTAAATATGAAAATGCACTAAAAAGTTAGACCTGTAGAGGGTTTCTTTTAGAGCCTGACTCTGTGCAGTCGGTCTTTTTAATAATCGGTATTCTAAATCTTTTCTACCATTGTCACAGGAGTCACTTATATATATGTTAAGTAACCGTCTTCTGAGCATGTTGCAGTTTTACAAGGTAGTCAGCTAGTATACGTGCTTCTGCTTTTGGGTACTAATAAAATCATCTTTCACTTTAATGGCCCTTGCGGTCCACATTTGTGTTGGTGTGTCTGCTGCAGCCGTGTCTGTCATTTGTTTTCATAAATGCTTTTCATTCTTTCTCTCAATTCAAACAGGGTTACTAGAAGGCCTTACTTTGTTTTTACAGTGCAATGTACATTCACATATGCATGATTAGCTTATGCAAATTTAACTGTGCATTTAAAAATACTTTTGATACTGTATGGCTCCCAAACATAAGCTGCTTTGTGTGTGTGGTGCTGCATCAAAGAAACAGTAGTTCCTTTAAAACCGGGAGGAGAAACTGTGTGGACACACTGTAGAACAGTGTAGTATAGATGAAACCATATTTTAAAGATCATTTTGACCACATGCAGCTTTCATATTTGCTGCTTTTAATGTAAGCCTTCTGCAAAATGCAACCCAAGTATAATTTCTGACAGCAGACTGTTTGGTCTGTTGACTAGGATTTGCAAGATCACTATTATAATACTAATTATATCTTGTAGCAGTTGCTGTCATAAGGTTATACTGCAACCTACACTATAAAGCTAATACTCGGTGTATCATCTCAGCAGCCTCTGTTGTTCTGATTTTATATGTGGTATCCTATTGCAGAGGCAGTCTCATTGCCTAGAAACATACTAGAAATTGTATGCCCAAACGAGTGGTATCCTCTCTTCTCCAATCTTAAGAAAAAAGTAATTATCTTAGAAAGCTAGAAGCTTGGCCCAGTCACACTGCCTTGCTCAAAATATTTTTGACATTACAGTTTTGTAATTACCTTCAGAGTTTGCGACATATTTTTTGAATATTTTTAATTATTCAAATTAATTAGTCTGATAAAGTTGGATTTCATTTCTGGAAGCTGCTGACAGTCCTTCATAACAGACAAGTGAAAGAAGTAGGTGTGGAAGCCACTCTTTGGGATAAAAAAAAATAACCTGTGTATATTTGGACAGTAGGTTTTCTAGAAAAACTGCAGGAATATTCTGTGCTGTGGTGAGAATAATGGAATAATCAGCTTCATAGGTGATTTCTTCGAAGCAGGTAGCACTCAATTGAGTAAATAAACTCTTTCACATGTATTATGAGGTCAGTCTTATGACAGTGCGATCCCGTTCCTTAGCAACCGCAGAAATACACAGTGTCACTGTTTTTCTAGTTATGTTTCCTGTTACTAATTGTTCCTTTACTGTATACTTGTGATAATTTGAATGGAATTCACCCTTACTAAATCAGAAACAGGCAACTTTTGTTCTCCTTCCCAGTTCCATGCTCTGCTTTATCATGAAACTTGTTTCACTCACTCTACTACATTATTGGATTGTTAGTAAGTTTTCTATTGGGTTAAAATGTATCTTTAACTTTGAGAGTAATACCTTTTACTAAGGTATATAGGTGTTGCAGTCTTAGTGGATATGCCATCTCTGAATTTTGAACTGTTACCTTTTTTTTAAAAAGCTTTTTACTGCTTTATAACTTTCTTCATGTAAATTGATTGAGACTTTCTAATTCATATTTCTTTGTTCAGAATCCTCCTTTGCCTACAGGATGAATCATCCTGGTAATCCCATTCAGTTTTCTGTCTTTGTCTCCTTCTCTTCAGCATAAAGCTGTTTAAAATACATTTTTAGTCACTCTTACTTATGGAGCATACCATGTTCTTTCTCAGTGCCAAAGCTTTGCCTGTCCCACTTCTACCTGACTGAAGTCCCGTGTATTCAAGATAACCTTCAGTTATCTTGCTCTGCTGATCTTCCTGTATCTTTCCACTCTCATTGCAGTTATCTTTATCACTTACTTGACACTACAATAATATGACCTTGAATTATTCTTAATTTTTTACATGCTTGTTTTAGTTCTGCACAAAAATAATTAGTACCGTGATTTTTTTATATATCCCTTTCAGCACAACAGATAGCATAATTCCAGATAGATGTTTGAATAATTATGTCATAATGTTCACTAAATTATTTGTTGAATTACTGATCTGCCGTCATCACTCAGACATTGTGTGGGATTTTGCCTTTGTGAATGTTTAATAAAACCAAGTACATATAACTTGTACTATAAATGCATTCATTGCTGTAATCCAGTTACCATTGTTATATTCCTAATAACTTTATTTTGTAGAAGCTTGAGTGAAAATGGTACATGTTGGAAGACGTGAAACAAGGAAAAGTTCTAAAACCCAAGTGCCTGAGCAGAAATCGCGAGTTGATTGGAGGCGAACTAAAAGAAAGAGCATCTCGCAATTAATTGACAGTGAGGAAGAGCCTGATAGTAGTGAAGACCTCGACGGTGATGAAAGTGTTGGTAGTGATGACGAGCTTGATGGCAACAAGGGACTTGACAGCAACAAAACACCAGAAGGTGAAAGAGAGCTTGAAGCGAACAGAATGGAGAGCGAAGGAAACAGCAGTGAGCGTCTCATCAGCACGGAGGGCAGTTCAACATACGAAGAAGAAATGAACAGGACCAAGTCTAGGAGTATTGATTTACCAGATGAGGAAAAATATCCAGGTGGAGAGAGCAACGATCTCAGCAAACACACTGGGCAGATAATAGAGGAAGCTGGAGAAGAAGAACACATCATGCCAGGGAGAAGAAAAAGGATATCCTCTGTGATGTACGACAGTGACGAGAGTGATGACAGTGATATCCTCGTTAGAAAAGTAGGTGTCAAACGCCCGCGACGAGTGGTTGAAGATGAATGTTCTTCCATGGAAATGGAGCAGAACTCTGGAAAAACATTAGCTGCACGAAAACGAGAACAGCTTCAGAAGCTGAAAGAACTCTCAAAGCAGAGATCTCGTCAGAGACGCAGTAGTGGTAGAGACTTTGAGGTGTGTTCTATTTGGCTGATTTTGTTCTTGTTTTTAAATTTTTTCTTAAAGTATCTCCTCTTTATAAAAATCAAAGTGCTAAGTCTGTTATTTCTCAATAATTCTACAATTTATTTTTTAATCTAGTATCCTTGAACATGTTTGATTGCACTATTGTAACTAATATATGGCTTTTTCATGAGCCCCAGTCCATTACTCTCTTTTTAAAATTGACAGGCTATTTGTTGTTTTGTGTGGTCTGTCCTGTTTCTTATTATCTCAGTATTTATTTTAAACATTTTACATCACATCATTTAACCAAAGTGTATTATCTTCCTCCTAATTTCAAAAGTTCAACATTTAACATGACAAGATTCTTTATTTTTAACCTCAAAGCACATAATTATTTCTGTGCATCCTTTTTTTTAATTTTCAGGTTTAATCTTTTCAATTTATATCCATGCTGACCATTTTAAGGGCACAATTTACTGAAACATTTATTTTAATTAGGACTCTGAAAAGGAATCCTGCCCAAGCAGTGATGAAGAGGAGGAGGACGAGGATGAATCTGATGAAGATGGAGATGATTATATCATTGATGACTTTGTAGTACAAGATGAGGAGTGTGGTGACGAGAGTAAACACCAGCGAGGAGAAAAACTGACGACATCACAACTGAAATTAGTGAAACAGAATTCTCTTTGTAAGTTCAACATCGGGAAAATGTTTATGACTTGTTCTTATATCAAGTGTATCAAATCAGCCTTTTAATATCATGTTCTAAATTGCCAGCTAGGAACTATGGTTTCCCTTTTGGATATCTTTGTCTGTTTAATAATTTATTCCAGTGGTCGCAGAACCCTTTACAGGCTTAAAAATTATTGACTCCAGCAAGCTTTTATTGCTGTGGGTTATGCCTATCAGTATTTACCATTGTAGAACTGAAAACTGAGAAATTTAAAACATGTCTATGAATTAATTTTTTTTTTTTTTTTCGCATTGGATTCTTATTTTGTCACCCAGGCTGGAGTACAGTGGCATGCTCACGGCCACCCCAGTGTCTACCTGCTGGGCTCCGGCGATCTTTCTGCCTTAGGCTTCCAAGTAGCCAGAACGACAGGCATGTGCTATCACACCTGGCTAAGTTTTTCATTTATTCTAGAGACAAGGTCTTGCCAAGTTGCCCAGGCTGGTCTCAAACTCTTGGGCTCAGACAGTCCTTTCACCTCAGCCCCCCAAAGTGCTGGGATTACAGGCTTGAGTCACCACGCCCGGCCAATTAATTTTTAAAAAACATAAGTAAATTCATTATGTTAACATAAAAACATATTTTTATGAAAAAATAGCTATTTTGTCCCAAGATGAGAAGAATGTCATGGTTTCACATTCTTGTAAATCTTTAATGTCTAGCTAAATAGGCAAATGGATTCTTATATCTGCTTTTACATGCAGTCTGTTGTGACATGTTTTGGTCGAAGTGTATGAAAACTTGCCTCGCACAGATTGATAGCTGGAAAAGGGAGGAGCATTTTAATAGTATTTTCAGAATAATTATGTATATTCTAATTTGATACTACACCACAAAATTCAACAGGTAGTACTTTCTTAAAAAGTTAGTTGTAGCCGGGCTTGGTGGCTCAGCCTGTAATCCCACACCTTTGGGAGGCTGAGGTGAGTGGATTGCCTGAGCCCGCGGGTTCGAGACCTGCTTGGGCAGCGAGACCTCATCTCTACAATAAATCAAAAAATCAGCCGGGCATGGTAGCGCATGCCTGTAATTCCGGCTACTCGGAAGGCTGAGGCAGAAGGATCGCCGGAGTCCAGCAGGAGTGGCTGCGGTGGCCGGGAGCGGCCACTGCACTCCAATCTGGGCGACAGAGTGAGACTCCAACTCAAAAAAAAAAAAAAGTTAGTTGTACTATGGAATCTGAAACCATTTATATGAGCTTTTCATGTTCATTGGCCTGTCTCGCATTTGATTAGATCTTTTACCAGCGCATGATTTTGTGATATGATGCATTGGTCATTTGGAAAATATCAATTCACTGGGTTATGAAGACCCTCCAAATCTTGACATATTTCATTGCATATTTTTAAAAATTACAATCATTAATATCACCACTATTCAATCAAAATATTCCTAAGGAATTGGGAAGCTGTCACGTTCACAGCTGCTCATCTGAGTTTTTCAAAATTCTAACTACTTACAAACTCAGTTGTTATCATTGGCAACAAATGCTGTGAGTTGTTCTCCTTGAACTGACAGGCTTGCTTTGTTTTGGCTTTTTGGAGAGGGAAAATGACAGATTTCCGTGTCTGAATAACCAAGGTCTATCTGCCTTTTTTTTTTTTTTTCGAGTTGGAGTTTCACTCTGTCACCCAGACTGGAGTGCAGTGGCTGCTCCCAGCCATTGCAACCTCAACCTGCTGGGCTCTGGCGATCCTTCCGCCTCAGCCTTCCAAGTAGTTGGAACTATAGGCGCGTGCTATCACACCTGGCTGATTTTTTATCTATTGTAGAGGTGAGGTCTCGCCAAGTTGCCCAGGCGGGTCTCGAACCCATGGGCTCAGGCAGTCCACTCACCTCAACCTCCCAAAGCGCTGGGATTACAAGCTGAGCCACCAAGCCCAGCTTTCTATCCATCTTTTAAGTAAAAATGATGTTTCACGATGAGGTTTTGTTTCAACTCAAACAGTTGCCCAAGTGCTTTTTCTCAAGGTACTAAACAGGTGTGCACTTAAGATTTGAGGTTTAAGAAACATAGTTTTTACCACCTCATCAAGAACAGTCTTAAGCAAAATGGCTTTTTGCTGTTTGTGTCCGGCAGTGAGGACTGAGGTTACTGCTAGTAGCTTGGCTTGCTGCTGTCGCCATTGTCCTTCCAGCTGCTGCTTTGCCCATCGTGGCTTCTGCACCATCAGTGAAAATGTCAACATGGTGAAGAAAGCAAATCATATCTTATGGCTATTCCTTGACGTCACAGATTTCTGTAAATGAATCGGGGAATCCCAGGAGCCTGCAGACAAAACACTTTGAGAACCACTGGTCTTATCGGACCTTGGAAGCTTTACTCAAACAGTGAAACCTATCAGAGATGAAAATTAGAATCTTTTATATTTTTATATAACTAATGGAACTATAAATAACAGGACCTCAAATTTTAGGATATATTTAAATATGTATTATTATTATGATCTATAATTGTACATAATTTCAAAGATTGTTTTTAGGATGTTTCACAATTGGTAGAAACAAGCTGTTGTATAGATACATTTTTAATTTTTTACTTTAAGGATGCATTCATTCCAAGTATTTTGGAAAAGGCCATATTAGCTAAAATTAAGTGTAACGTGATTTGATTTATATCTCAATTTATAATAGTGTATTGAGATATAAATCAAATTTAAAGAAATTTAGCAGTTATGGGATGCCAGTTTTAGGCCTCTATATCCTGTTAAGTTAATGACCATTTTTCTCAAATTTGTAGACACTGGTTCACCTGCTACCTGGACATTTTAACCACAGGCATACTCAGGAGGAATTCTATCATTCTGGATTACATATCTAGAATGTGATGGAACATTTGCTGAGAGAGTCCCACTTATACCCATTCCTGCTAATTAAATGAAAATAAATGGGAATTAATTCAAATTTTCTACATCTCTATGTTTAATTTTGTTTTTTAAGGGCAGTTTTAGATTTATAGAAATATTAACTAAAAGTACAGCATTCAAATACACCCCTTACACACACAGTTTCCCCCATTATTAGCCTCTTGCATTAGTTTAGTGCCTTTGTTACAATTGAGAGCCAGTGTTGATGCATTGTTAACTGTAGTTCATAGTTCACATTAGGGCTCACCCTTTGTGTTGTACCTTTTATGGCTGTTTACATGTGTCTACCATGACAGCATCATACAAAGTAGTTTCACTATCCTAAAACTCTCCTATGCTCTATTAAGCCTCCTCCCCTGGACTCCTGGCAACCTTGTTCTTTTTACTGTCTCCATAGTTTTGCTTTTGCCAGAATGTCTTATAGTTGGAATTGCACAGCATGTAACTTTTCAGATTGGCTTCTTTACTTAACAATATGCATTTAGGTTTCCTTCATGTCTAAATGTGGCTAAACAGCACATATCTTTTTATGGCTGAATGTATTCCATTATGTGGATATACTGTGCTTTTATTTACCCATTCTCCTGTTAAAACATCTTGGTTGCTTCCATGTTTGGCAATTATGAATAAAGCTGCTGTAAACATTCGTGTGCAGGTTTTTCTATGGATGTAAGTCTTCACCTCATCTGGATAAACACAAAGCTGTTTTCCTTTTAATACTGAGCATCTCTACCTCAGTGGAAATGTATCTGTTTTTATGCAATATATTTTATCTTGTGTGTTCTTAATTACAGCTTCCCCTTCTGGCTTTATCGTCCACTTAGTTCTAGTTTCAGTGGTTTTGTCTTACACGCTTTCTTTCCTCAACTGATAACCACGTTCATGTCTTTTATTCCTTGAGTTGGCATGTTCTGTTAGCTGCTACTCTATTTCCCTGGAACTCTGCAAAACGCTGTGTTCAGTTCCTGCATCCATCAGTCCGTGGAAATTGCTCTTGCTCTATTAACTGGGTAGTGTGCTTTGCTCTCACTGACCATTCTCACTTTCAGAATGCTCTTCTTTTAGCTTCTTTGGTACCTCTCTTTCCTGCTTTTCCCTTGTAATAATTGCTTTCCTCTTTTTCCATTGCCATGTAAATTTTGATGTTTCCACAGGTTCAAGTACCTTCATTTTCCTTGTGGGTTTGGGAAGTCTCTTTCCTGTTACTTCAGTCTGGTCTATAAACGAATTCTTCAGTTTTTCTCTTGAGCCAAGATTCCTCCTGAGCATAAGTCCTAGTCTTTCATTATCTTCTTGAAATCTTTATCTCTTTCAGATATCTCAATCTCAAAATATATACAAAACAATGATTAAGAGGCAGTATGGGCCGGGCTCGGTGGTTCAGCCTGTAATCCCAGCACTTTGGGAGGCTGAGGCAAGTGGATTGCCTGAGCCCGCAGGTTCGAGACCTGCCCGGTCAACTTGGTAAGACCTCGTCTCTACAGTAAATAAAAAAATTAGCCGGGCATGGTAGCACATACCTATAGTTCCGGCTACTTGAAAGGCTGAGGCGAAAGGATCACCAGAGCCCAGCAGGTCGAGACTGCAGTGACCAGGAGTGTGCTACTGCACTCCAGTATGGGTAATGGAGTGAGACTCCAACTCAAAAAAAAAAAAAAAAAAAGAAAAGGCAGTATGAAGAAGTTTTTTGGAGTGATACAATTGTGGTACAATTGGTGGTTGTGTAATTTTATATATTGGCCATTGACTATACACCAAAAAGAATGCATTTTCTGACATATTAAAAAGTAAAGCTCAGTAAAATATGTCAAGTAGGTGCCCTGACTTCCCCCCCCAAAAAAACCTTCTCTTTGTATTTCTAGTATTATGGTTAGTTGGATGGATGATTGAGATAAGCTGTTGGCTGAAGACTCCTGAGTTTTATAGTTCCAGATTCAGAAATGTTGGCATGACCAGATTTTTTAAGGCATTAGAAAAAAAATGGTATCTATTTTAGTGTGATAATTTAAAATGGAGTTAATGTTTTCAATACTTATAAATTTTATGTCATGTGAATGTATTAAATAAAACAATATAGGCAATTTTCAA